TAATAGCTATAAGTATAATCTGCAATAAAGGAATTTTTGCATAAAGGTAGATAAAATAAGAGCCATGAAATCTGATCACTAAAATAACACCTTTTGTAGATAACTCAATAAGATACAAACCAAATGGCGGCTTTCCAGTAAGAAATAAACTTTGCACTCATATAAGTTGTAAATATGAAATCAGTGCAACAAAACCTATAAGTAATTAACATAATAATTACCAAAACCCATATGAACCAGTGTCCCCCTCACAGGGCTCCATCACCAGTGGGGCCACCATGCAGTGCGCCCCTCCTTTTGGTTTGGTGGGTCCTTCCCCGTGCCCGACACATAGTTCAGACCCTCTCACCGATGTGGAATTACAGAACATCAGATAGGGTGGTGCTGGCTGCAGAAGCTGGCAGCAGGCCGTTCTCTCAGTGCTGCCTCACCACGTGGAAATGATGTTCTCTGGCTTCTGGGGCTTAGTATCAAGGAAACAAAAAGGGAAATAAAGCTACTAACTGGATTCTATGAGCTACATAGAACAGAGCCCTCTCGAAGCGAATGTAGGATCAGAGTCTAACTATGCGTGTTGGCAGATATACAGACCATGCTTTGGTTCATGGCTGCAATCCTAGCACTCTGGGAGACCAAGGTGGGTGGACCACCTGAGCTCAGGAGTTCGAGACTAGCCTGAGCAAAAGCAAGCTCTACCCCCTCCCCAGTCTCTACTAAAAGTAGAAAAACTATGATAAAATGATTTTTTTTCTTTCGGGTAGATGCCTAGTAATGGGATTGCGGGATCAAATGGGAAGTCTATATTGAGTTCTTTGAGAATTCTACATACTTCTTTCCAAAGAGTCATTGTGGCGGGCGCACCTCTAGTCCCAGCTACTCTGGAGACTGAGGCAAGAGGATCACTTGAGCCCAAGAGAATGAGGTTTCTGTGCTCTATGATGCTATGGTAACCCCAGGGTGACAGAGTAGGACTCTGTGTCCAAAAACAAAACAAAACAACAAAAGCCATGCTTTGTCTTTTCTTTCTATACGTAGCTATGTTTTAGGGCACATTATCTATTTACAGGACCCTATTATTATTATTATTAGGGTTTCCAGTGTCCAAAGTTAAATGAATACCCAAATCAAATTGCAATTCTGTGTTATTTAAAACCCTTTAGAATTGCATAATTACAATGTTCCCAGCAGTCAATTCATGTTGATATATGGGTACCATTTGTGGAAGTATACAAATACTTTTTAAATACTCAGCAACTTTATCCGATTTAATCCTGGTGAAATAAAGTTTGAAAGGGCATTTTAAGGCTGTAGTCCCAGCAACTCTAGAAATTGAGACAGGAGGATCACTGGAGCCGAGGAGTTTGAGACTAGCTCAAAATAGTGATTTCATTACAGAGGCAGAGGAAGGGCATAAAATGCTTTTTATATCTAACTTGTCCCTTAACTGTTTATTGAAAATAACCTTGGAAAGGAAATTCTCCAAGGTATCATAGAAAAGCAAGAGATCTTAAAAGATCTTCCAATGAACAAACCCATCATACAGATCAGCTGAGGCCAAAAGAGCCAAAATAATGAATGGTTCACAGCACGGAAGGCTCCTGCCGTCTACCTGCTATTTCTTCGCAAACAATGTCAGTTATGTATCATGGCAGACCGCAGACCAAGGGCCAGATCCTGGCTCCGCTGCTCAACCAGCTCTGTGGGCAAGTAAATAAACCTGTCTCAGTTTTGGCTTTAATGTCCCCATCTTTACATAGGCATAGTAACAGTAGATAACAATGAATAATTGATATAGTAGCAGCTACTTTGCTGCAAGGATTAAATGAGCTAAAATATGCAAAAGAACCCGGCACAGTGTGGGCACATGGTAGACGCTATGTGAGTGTTGTTAGGATCTCTCATAAATATTTGCAAGTATAATTTCAGGAAAAATCAGCCTAAGTTTGCTTTCGTTGAAACCAGAGCCCAAATTCTACCTAGTGACTATGGCTGGCTCTGAGCACAGATGAGGAGTCAGTAATTCCTAAGTCCTCTGCAGATTTACTGAGGACTTGCCATGTCCCAGCGACCTCCTTTCTTCTTTGATGCTGTTGCTTGACTCTGAATTAGGGAATTCATTTGAATGCATTTGAAAAGACTTGCCCAGGGCCTTGATGGTAGCCTTGGCAGAAATGGTGAAGGGATAGAAGACAGGTAGGGTTGTGAATTAGTAACTGATTAAGCAACTACACTGAAAGGCACAGACAAATGGATTAAGGGGGCTCAAATGGTATTAACATTAGGTAAAGTCCTCAGCCCTATCCTGTTCCACACATTTATTAATGATTTTTTTTTTTTTTTTTTTTTTTTGGCACAGAGTCTCACTCTGTCACCCGGGGCAGAGTGCCATGGAGTCAGAGCTCATAACAACCTCGAATTCCTGGGCTAAGTGATCCTCTCGTTTCAGCCTCGCAACTAGTTGAGACTACCGGCACCAGTCATGGTGCCCAGCTAGTTTTTCTGTTTTTAGTAGAGACAGGGCCTCACTCTTACTCAGGCTGGTCTCCAACTCTTAAGATGGAGCAATCCACCCACCTTGGCCTTCTAGAGTGCTAGGATCAGAGGCATGAGCCACCGCACCTGGCCTTATTGATGATTTAAATAGAGCTATTAAGAGCCTGCTCATTAACTTTAACTTTGCAAACAGAAGCAGAGGAGATACGTGAAAATTAAGTATTAAATTTACAATTGATAAAGCTGATTGCTAAGGTTCTGTCGAACTTTGATAGTTTGTAGGACTATTCAGACAATTTAGTAGTACTACCAGTGTTCTAAGATTAAATTTTGGACCACTAAAGAAAATTTTATGAAAGGGAACCTAATAAAGAACCTCCCTTACGTCTCAACACATCCAGATATGCAAGTACCTTCTGGCTCAGCTGAGAAGAAATACAGTTAGGACATGGAGCCAGGTAGTAATGGGTCTAAATAACATAGCTAGAAATGAAATGTGGAACACATCAGCTCCCTTAATTCTACGCAGATTTCTTAGAAATAAACCAGCTCAATAGCCAATTTTCTTTTGTGTAGTAAGTGGACCGAGCCGGCTAAGCAGAGAGCAGCTGTGTCCCAATGACCACATTAGCATTATTCAGAGACGTGTTCCCTCTTTCACCGTGAATCTCCATTTTTCCACGTGTTCTATATTGTCTGAAGTAGTGCTGCCCCAGGATCTATTCTTTTTTATTCCTTAGGTAGCAAACATATGTCTTTTATCTCTTACTTCTGGCCTGCTGTGATGTCAGCTGACCTGGGTGGATTAATTGTTAATAGATATGTCATACCTGTGTCCAGAGTTCATTGTGACTAGGCACATGACTAAAAGCAAAGGCAGTGTGCCCAGGAATTTGGGTCTAGGTAGGAAAATGCATTTGTGTTACCTGACAGCACAATGTAAACCCTCACACCTTTTCTGTTTTCCCTTTGAATAATTTTCTTGCAATATACTTCTCTAGAATGACTGGTTAAAATATTTAAAAAAAAAAAAAATCCCAAACTAGCAATTGGGAACAGTCAGTGAATACATCTTCAAAACTGGCTCTCCAGGCAGATAATGCATTGGACTGACAAGGCACAGCGATTATTATTAGTTCTTGCTTGTTTCTGTCGTTAAGTGCCGACTGTCAGCACAGGAGGGCCTTGTATTTTTAGATCATTTCAAATGGTTTTATTGATTGCTGTATTGAACTACATTTATACGTGTCCCTTTTTAAAAGTCTTTTGAATCAGAGCCTTAAATTATAAGCTTGTCTAAAATAACAGGAAAGCGAGAAAGGGGGAAGAGAAATCACTAAGCATTTCTTGTTGCATAAGTGAAAAACTTCTCACTTCTGTCCTCTGTGCAGACTCAGGATGACACACTCCTTTTTCTTTTGTTAAAGTTGAAATTCATCAGTGGTTTTACATTTCTCATTTTCGAATACGGGGATTGATTTTGTCTGACTATGTGCTTTAAGAGAAAATGTCACCTGTAAGCTAGCGTTTCTTCGGCTGTGTTTATGGTATGCTGCTGATGACACTAGGAAAGGACGCATTTGCTCTTTCTGTCCGTGAAGTGATTGGACAAGAAAGGAACCGCAAAACAGGAAACAAGAGTGCTGACAGAGGCCCCGTGTTAGCCACAAAGCATTAAATAGCAATAAGTCATTTCCACGATTCGGGGTTTATTGTGATTTTAACATCACAATTTCTCCTTAATCTGAGACATGTTTAGTTACTGGGCACAGACACTGGCAGTAAAAGTTTGTATGCAAAGAGACCACATGGTTGAAAACTTAAAGATCAGTTCTTAAGGTTCAAACAGATGAAAGGGTTCCAGGATGTCAGGTAACATTTTTCAACCTAAGTTTTAATGAGTAGAAGTGTCAAATCACCCAGCACACCTATCTGCCAAGATCAACAGCAGACTCACCTTGCCAAGGCCTGTCCTTCAGGGCCGGGCGCCCCGCTGCCTGGTTGTTTTGTACTAGTTGCCACCTTTTGGCACCTTGGGCCTGCTGCTTTACTAGTCAAGCCACCTTAACCCTTTCCCTGTCCTGCCCCGATTAATTTCCTCGCAGAAAATTCCTGCTGTCTGATGAAATATCATGAAAGAGAAAGTCCAGCCTGCTCAGTGTCCCAGTTCCATTTTCTACAACTGAACACTAAATTTTTTGCTTTTTTTCTGGGAGTTACTTTCCACTACACTCTCCTTCCCTCACCTCTCGGTCCACTTGTTATTCTCGTACATTGGGAGCTCCGCGTGCTCAGCCTAAGCTCTGCCACTTGGGAGGAGCAGCCGGTCGGTGTTAGCACAAGTGATGAAACACCTCCTGTTCGTCTCCAGCTCTCGCCAAGTGGATCTCCCAACATGTGCCCTGCCACTTACGGAGCCTCGTTAGATGAGAATCTGTCTTTAACACAGCTTTCCTTTTTCATTAACATTTTTGTCTGTGTTCCCAGATAACTTGGTTCTCTTCAAATTTTGAACCTGTGGACCTCATCCCAGGCTTCATCCTCATTTTTTTTCTCTTAAAGCACATAGTTAGATTAACTTCATTCCATGTGAGGTTAAATAAGGTGCCTGTCTTCCCTGTTACACTGTGGGGTCTTCAGAAATCTCAGACCATCATCACTGTTAGGGAAGCACTTGGCACATTCTGAATTGGAGTCCAGATGTGACATCAGGAGACTTTGTTTCCAGTCCCAGCTCTTGGGGTTTCAGTTACCTCCTGGTCTGTCACCTGTTGGGTTAGATCTGTGGGTCTCAAACCTGGCTGCACGTTAGCATGGCTTGACAGCTTTTAAAGTGGGGAGCACAGCTGGGCCCACCCCTCAATACTCGTGTCCTTGGGCAGTGAGAGGGCCTCTGTGTGGGTGGTCACCTAAACCTCCCCTCGTGACTCTGACGGTGCTGTCAAAGCTGAGAAATGGCGAGATCAAGTGACGTCTGAAGTCACACTCAGCCCCCGCTTTCTGCAGTGCTGCTGTGGTCTTTTTAGATAGAACGCTGAGTAAGCACTTCGGAAAATTTAGTACATTTTATAGTGTGATATGATAGCTGAAGGAGAGAAACTGTTGATGATTCAAACTCTAGGAATCCCAGAATTTAAGATCATGACTAAATTCCAGTCTCGTGTAATCACAGTAATCCACAGTGAATTTAAAGCATGACTTTTTTTAATGCAAAGCATTATGAATGAAATCCCCTATATCATTTGAGCTCTATCTTTAAAATCTTTCAATGGGATTTTTTTTTAATAAGGGAAGGAATATATTGAGTCTCGCAGTGAGTCACCCCCATTTCTCCCAAAATGACAGATCAGGATTTTGTGCTGAATATATTTTTATCCTACTGATTATCTAAGGTAATTTGTTCTTTTTTCTCTTGACTAGCTTACGTATGCATCTCCCTCTAATGTAGTCGTGAGCGGCTTCTAAGTTTCCTGTGCAAGGCGTGCATCTTAAGTGTGCTAATCCCAGGCCACTAAGCAGAAGCACACACAGCAGCTTACCAGATGACCCAAAAGGAAGTCATAAACTCCTAAATAAATCGGCTGTCCCGAGATTGATGTGATGCCCTTGCCCGATTCCTTAGTTTTTCACAAGGATGTACCAGCATATTCATGATAGCAAGCACCTCCCTCCCCGACACACTTGCTTTTAGTTTCAGTAATGTCCTTACGTGGAAAAGTCATCTTCACTGATCTGCTGGGATCATGACTTTCAAGCCTGTTCCCAGGGGCAGCCCTCGCAAATTCCCTTTTGAAAGCCAGTGAGAAGGGAAATGAAAGGTAGACGATGGCTGTCAGCTATACTGGTGATTTCAGCTGAGGCACATTGTCTCCAGGCCTGGCCTCAGATCTAAGATGGGAAACCACTCGGGGGACAGCTTCCTAAGGCTTTCAGGAAACCCAGGTAGCAGGTGTGCTTTAAAGAACAATTCTGACCTCTCACCCCTGTTATTTTCCAGAGCCCACCCCTGCTTTCTCCTCCTGGCAGAGGGAGACCGTGGAGGCTGACGAAGCCCACCTCTCCCCGCAGGCCGGACGCCTGATTCGCCAGCTGCTGGATGAAGACAGCGACCCCCTGCTCTCTCCTCGGTTCTACCCTTACGGGCAGGGCCGGCAATACCTGGATGACACAGAAGTGCCTCCTTCTCCCCCAAATTCCCATTCTTTCATGAGGTGAGTTTCTCTACAGTACTGATAAGCAAATACCCCATCCCCACAGTATTAGAGAGGACAGGAATGGCGCTGATGGCTAGGAACTTTTTACAAATGAAGTTGTGAGTCTCTGGAGAACCATACTTGAAATTCTCCATCCTGGCATCCAGGCTGTGTTGTAGTTTTTCACTTGAACTGTGGCCCAACTGCAATATCACCTACTGAATTTTCCTAGCACCTTCTTTCCAAAGCTCTGTCAAATTTAACTTTAGGCCCCGAGCAAAGGTAGACAGCCCTACCTTTGCTAATTGCAAATATGAGCTGGAAAGGCCAGGCATGCTTATCGGGTGGTGCATTCGGAGCTCAGAGGTATAAAGTCAATCTATCAACTCTTTTATTCAAGAGGACGGAGGCTGCTCTGTCCTCCTCCCCAACCCAGTCTGGCATCCGGGCCCCAGAGCCCCTCTCGACAGGCAGTGATGGCTCATGGGGAGGCTGACCCAAGTCGTGTCCCTCACAGGCAGCGAAGCTCCTCTCTGGGGTCCTATGACGATGAGCAGGAGGACCTGACACCTGCCCAGCTCACACGGAGGATTCAGAGCCTTAAAAAGAAGATCCGGAAGTTCGAGGATAGATTTGAAGAAGAGAGAAAGTACAGAGTACGTGCCCCTCCCCGTGCCCTCTTCTCCTTCCCTCCCCAGCATGCCAGCCTGTCAACCACTCAAAGGAGTGGTGAAGGGCTAAGGGAGATTTCTAGGGAATCTCGAAACGCAAAGGCAGAAAGGAACAGATAATAAACCCTGATAAACCCCACTCATCCTATATCTACATTTTTCTTGCCCAAACGCATCCTAATAAGTAAATTGAACGTTTTAAGCCTACATTTTATAAATTTATCAATGAGCAAGAATGGAAAAAATGCTGAATTAAATCTTTTGTCTGGCCAAAACTTAATTGAATATTATCTCCCAAAATTTTGTTAGTATTCAGTTCATTGTACGCTCAGCTCTATCCTCCAGTTTCCCACAAGAGTGGCAGAAAGGCGTTTTTTTCCCTGGTGGCTCTGGTACAAAACATTATCTTCTGTGTTCTGGACTTTGTGAGTCTCACAGGCTGGACTGTACAGATGATGGAAGGGAACAGGGTCATGGACCTCCCAGGAGTTCCTGATCCTAAAGATCCAGCATTTTGCCTCTGAGGAGTTCTTTGAAAGCATCAAACTAACCAGATGTAGGAGAGGATAATGAATTACCCTACGACATTTTTCTGATTGCTCCTGGTTAATGTCTTACTCTGATGGGACTCAACTTTTCCTTCCTATTGAAAACCTAAACGATCATCAGACCCTTCTTGTTTTCCCTGCCCGAATTCCAAGACACTGACTCTAGACTTCCTCTTCTCAGCCTTCCCACAGCGACAAAGCAGCCAACCCAGAGGTTCTGAAATGGACAAATGACCTTGCCAAATTCCGCAAACAACTTAAAGGTAGGTGACATTTTGGACCTGTGGCTCGGCTACACAAGCCAGGGGTGGAATCCATCTCCTCCCCTCTTGCTAAGGTGTTCCAGGGTCCTTGCAGATGCTTCCTCATGCTCAGGTATTTGGGCGGCCACATCCCCATGTCTTCCCCTGGTCTTAATCACAGGGTAACTAGATCAGCTAAGATGCAAATCCTAAAGTATTTCTGCATTTCCTTAAATCCTTAACAGAAGGAGAATGGTTTCAAGTCAGCAGTTCTTAAGCACCAGTTTAATACAAGGCTTCACTTGCTGGTACGTTAGGAGTAAACATACAGAGACAGTGATGAATCTGAAAAGGATTTGACCCTGTCCGTCAAAGAGCTTGATATCCTCAAAGGGACAGAGACATATAAACCACTAAATAGAATACAAAATGAAAATAATTTCAAAGAGTCATACAGAAAAAGTTGGCTAGTGGTTAGGTATTAGATCAGCAAATACCTTTTAAAATTTAGGGAAAATAGGACGGATGCAGTGGCTCACGCCTGTAATCCTAGCACTCTGGGAGACCGAGGCAGGAGGATTGCTTGAGGTCAGGACTTCAAGACCAGCCTGAACAAAGCGAGACCCCCATATCTAATAAAACTAGAAAAATTAGCTGGGCATTGTGGTGGGTTCCTGAGATCCCAGCTGCTTTGGAGGCTGAGGCAAGAGGATCACTTGAACCCAGGAGTTTGAGGTTGCAGTGAGCTAGGTTAAGCCCATAGTACTCTAGCCAGAGCAACAGAATAAGACTCTGTCTTAAGATAAGACAAACAAACAAACAACAAAATATAACTTAGAGAACAAGTATGGGAGGGCATCTGCCATGTTCTGAGAACACCACGCAGGGTGTTGTGGCTAGACCATGGATGTTAAATAGCAGGTGTTTTCTCAGGAATTAGGGTTAGGGAAACATCCCAAATAATCCAGGAAGGCATCATCATTAGCTCAGGTTTTACGTAATAACTGGGGATTTCTGCTGATACAGTAATTAGATACTCTGCAAAAAGACAGGACTCAGCAGTTATCGACCCCAGGGAAAAGCCGCCTGTATTCAGCAGACATCAATTCTGTATCTCTCCCCCCAAATCTTACCCAGAGTCCAAACTCAAGATATCTGAAGAGGATCTAACTCCCAGGATGCGGCAGCGAAGCAACACACTCCCCAAGAGTTTTGGTTCCCAACTTGAGAAAGAAGATGAGAAGAAGCAAGAGCTGGTAGACAGAGCAACCGAGCCCAGCCTGGAAGCCACCCTGGAGACCATCCAGCGGAAGCTGCAGGAGAAGCGGGCAGAGGCCAGCCGGCCCGAGGACATTAAGGTGGGTGATTCTGTGATGTCGCCGAGCTGCCTGCTGGTCCTAAGCTCCTGGGCCCATGCGGTAGCAACAGGGGCGGGCTGCATGCACCCCCACGGGAAGGGGCTGCCTTTTCAAGCCTGCTGTGGTCCTACACGTCTGGAGAGGCAGATACAACAGCTGCAGAGCGTGTTCACTGGGGGGACTTTGGTTTTTGACCACATATCCAAAGCAGAACACTCTATATTGCAGAATGAACTTGATCAGGATAATGGGGCGTTTGGTGACTTTCTGGGGTAGAAAGGTTTTAGGCAAACCTTTGGGATTGTGTAACCTGTAACTCTGATCATTGCAGGGGCTGTTGAGTAAGCCCCGGGGGCCTCACGTCCCTGCTCACCTCAGTGTTCAGCCTTTGCTGCTGCATGGGAGATCCAGGGAATAGGAGGTAGCCCTGCTGTGCCAACCATCTTGCTAGCAAGAGCTCAGGAAGGGTTGAGTCCTGAGTGGACTTTGGATAGAGCGAGGGCTGTTGTAGGAGGCTTCTGTTTAACCATGCTTTGGTAGATTTGTTTAAATAAAGAAGCTGGAATATTCACAAATGTTTTCCTTTTCTTTCATTTCTCTATCCCTCTATTTTTACAGGATATGACCAAAGACCAAATTGCTAACGAGAAAGTGGCCCTGCAGAAGGCCCTGTTATATTATGAAAGCATTCATGGACGGCCGGTATGTGACGCGCCGGACCCGGGATTGGGGTCCATTGTCAGGCTTTAAATACTCTGAAGCAAACAGATTTTCTGTGTTCAGCGTCTTGCCAGTGGGGATCTCTCATGGTTGCTTTATTTTCAGAATAAAAGGAGGAATCTGTACTTGTGCACCATGACTAAGCTTCCTGAAGGCTTAACCGACCTTAAGAGAGCTCAATGAAAACTGCGTTTGCACCTAAAATTTAGTGATTAGGGTACTGCTTCAGGGGGTCAGGGGAGATAAGAGGTCAGAGTATAAGGTGCACTGAGCCCTGGAGTGAGGAGGCTTCCTTGTCCCTGTGGCTGCCCCATAGGCTGTCGCTAGGTTTTCTCATTCATAAAACGAAGGTGTTAAACTAGAATGAGCTGCTGTAAAATGTGATCTCTCTGCAATGCAGTGGCAACCAGGGTTTGCCTATGAAGAAGTTCCAGCTCAAAAGCAGAACTGAAAGGGTAAAGAACCCAAACCATAGTTCTGTCTTTCCCTAACACCAGGAATCATCCAGGCGGTTTACCTTCTCTCGCATTTATTAGATATTGTTATGCTGCGGGGGAGGCGGTGGCATGACGGGCTTCTGCTGTCCTCCTGGAGGAACTTGGAAGCAGACATCCCGCTTGTCAGTTACTTTTAACAAAAGAAACCAAATTCTTAAAGGCAGGGATAAGGATGCATGAAGTTTAGCTTTACAGATGAATTTGTATATAGCCACAGATATTTGTTTTCCAGTCTCAGTCATAACTATCTAAGGGATATAGTCTTTTCATCTAAAATATGTTGTTTTAAATAAAGAAAGATTCTGGGCATCGTCACTCACCTAGTGGTGACCGTAATCCTCAGCCTCTAGCGCAAGACATGACACGTGACAGGTGCCCAGTAACTATATGTAGAAGGCATCCGCCATGGCCTTGTGGTTCTAAAGTACTGGGTTTAGCTTTAAAGAATTAAAATACTGGAACTGATGATTGATTTTGCTGGCCTGTCTCTACAGTGGAAAAATACTGACACTTCAGCCAAGTTTTGTATCGGATTTTTTAAAGGCATCGAACCAAATAGTAAATGCTCTGGAGCTCAGATACTCTGTGAAACTGTCCTTCTCCACTGGAGGATTCAAAACTTGTAGAGGGAAAACGGAACTTCTTTCAACAGAGAGAAGCCCTTCTCCACTGTAGGCTCAGAACCTCAGCTATAAATCCCCTAGCAGCTGCCACCCAGGCCTCGGGGAAGGAGTGGGAGTGCTGCTGTTTCCCTTTTTGTATGTTTCCTCTTTTCACTGTGTGGATTCAGGTTATGACATTGATAGATTCCTTTAAAGACTTAGGGACTGAGCCCCCCACCCCCAAGAGCTCACAGTTGCTGCCAGTCCATCAGCGTGTGAGCTGTGGTGACTATTGCTCTGAGTTGGGAACAGATTCTCTCATTCTGCCAGGATTGAGGCAACCTGCAGACACGGCAGGTCTTAGAATCAGCAGACCAAGATGCAAAACCCAGCCCCACTGAGACTAGCTCTGTGACCTGGGCTGCTTAGGGAACCTCTCAGAGCCCCGGTGCTCTAGCTGCATAGATGCCTGTTATAGGTTGTCATGGGGACTAAATCAGCAGGGACACACACTTACCTCTGTATTTACCAGTAAGGTGTCTGGCACTGAGGAAGTGGGGTGGGCTGGCTTTCAGGGTTGCACGATAAATGTTAGTTTTCACTTCCTTCATAATGATATGTTTACTTTCTCTGGCCTATTTCTAATTTAATGATTAATTCAAGAAAGAACTGTTTGAGGAAAGCAACCTTGAGGTTGATGCCAATATTGATAATCAGTTTCTAGATTATATTATAAATCATCAAACGGGTGTAGAATTAGTAAAATTGTCAGCTATTTGTTTAAGGTTTATTGTTTCTGTTGCCCAGCTGACTTGCTCCGAAAGGCATCAGAGTATGCCACCCCCAAATTATGCCACATTGGCAGAAAGATTATTTTGAGTTAAAGGCAACTGAGAGTCCAAAGATGTGGGAAGAGTTCTGCCTTCTAGGCTTTTCGTGCCTCAGGTACACATGGGTTGAACTTTGAGGACGGTTACCCCCCTATACCAGGGAAGAGAAAAGCTACTGTTCTTATTGAAGACAGCCACTGCCAAGATGAGTATGTCTGAGTTGACTTACACAATTGATAAAAATTTAACATAAACATCTAATTGGGCTTTTCTAGAATTAAAGTCAATGTCTTTAATAGTGATAACACAGAGGGGACTTATGGTAGCTGAGAAGCTCCTTCTGACTGGTTATGGTGCATCTCTTGTTTCTTTGGGAAATGGCCCATTTTAAAGAGCAGCTGTATGAGGTGCAGTGGTGAATCTATAGTCCCTGCTACTCAGGGGGCTGAGGTGGGAGGATCCTTGAGTTCAGGCTGCAGTGAGCCAGTCATGGGCAACAGAGAGACCCCATTACTATAAAATATAACGTGGCACCCAGCTCCAGAAACCCCAGTCTGGTTTACTTTAAACAGTGACCTCCCAGAAACATTGTTTAATTAAAACAATGTTTTCCTTTATTTGGAGGATAAACAAGCCCCTGAGTCTAACTGTAATTCTGATCAACTTGTTTTATGTGAACCCCAATGTATGTAAATAATAAAAGTTATATATTTCCCCACCCCTGAAGAAAGTAAATTAAAAAAAATAATAAATTTGAAAAGAATGCAAATTTTTAGCCCTCTTCTCATGAGGAATCGAAATGTCAGTTCTTGGTCCAGCCTCATCATTCCCCTTCCTTTCCTGATTCTTTCTGGTGGGTCCAGAGTCTAGCCTCACAGGGTAGGAACAAATGCTTTAGGAAATTTGTGTATTATTTTTTTCTGGTCCTAGGCCAGGCTTTACCTCTCTCTGGAACATGATGCTTCAATCTCCTCAGGAAAAGCAGAGTTCATTTGGTATCTAGCCAGTCTGAAAATCAGAGAGTAAACTTTTAATTCTTAGATTTGTGGTGCTACCATGGACCCTGGACTGTAAATACCACTGGGACAACAGTCTTCTTAGAAGAAAAATAGGTATATTTCCAGAGCTAAACTATCGTTCCAAACTCTTTGCAATGCTCAAAACTCCTAAATTTTTGCTGAGTCCACAGATACTGATTTAAAAGGACACTATCAAAATCTTATGCCAAAACCTTGATCTGCTGCTTCTGTACATTTTTTAGCAAAGCTGCTTGCTATAACAAGGCACTGGACACATGTATGAAAAGCATGTCCTTTACACGTGGGCACATATTCCCTACCAATTATTACTAAAGTGTGTCCTTTTTAACATTTAAGGGCCTTGTCAACAGACTGTCGCAGAGAGAGGTGTAGCACGTGACTCTGGCTCACTGTGCGTACCACCTCCTATGCCTCCTACTCTTTGAGAATGAACGTGGAGGGGAGGGAACAGGCTGCCCCGATCAGAGCCCTGGGGGTTCTTCTTACATCTCTTCCTCATTGTTATGTTTCAATCTTGTATTTCATAACCATGGGGACTAACTCAACATTAAACACAGCCATGTTCAAATTTACATGCAAGTTATGAGGGCTTATACAAATAGCAGCTTTGGCCAGCTGCTATTTTGGACATTCTGACCTTTGTACAGACGGCCTTCTAGCATTACCTGACAATGAAAAAGAGTTGCTATTTTCCAGATTAAAAGACCAAGACGGTGATGATTATCAGAATCCACTTCATCTTGTCTTCTCCTCCCAGCAGTTTTATGACTGAGAAATATACCCCCCCCCCACAAGCTCAAACCACTTTTTGTTTTACTAAGAAGATTTCGAGGCAGTGTAGACTCTTGTCTGTCTGTACCATAGTTCCTCACAGTGCTTTGCCTTTATGCCACTATTCGTAAGCAGAGATTGTTGTAAACTCAACATAGGCAGAGTTCTCAGCGTGGAGGACGGGGTTCTTTCTACCAAGAAGACAACTTGGTCAGAGGCTGTTAGAAGATAGTGCTGTCATCACACCTGCTATTCGTCATGATCTTTATCTTCAAAATACGTATTTTAGTCATTGTACCTTTCACCTCTGTAGTTTTGTCCAGGTAACAGCAACCAAATTGGTGTGTCACAGTTTTATGTAAGGCTAAGACAAAAGTGTTATAAAAGCTACAGATAGGCAAATGCTACCTTGTCAGGCCTTTCTGATTTCTGTTCCAGACTTGCCACTAATTAAAAAGTTTGGGAGCAAGAGAAGTGAGATTATTTTGAAGAAACAGTAGACTATATGCTTGGCCTAAAGTTATTTATAAGCAATTGTGGATTATAAAGATTTGCTAGTGTGGCTGGGCTCATTGGCTCACACCTGCAATCCCAGCTCTTTGGGATTGTTTGAGGCCAAGTGTTTGAGACCAGCCTGGGCAATATAGCAAGAGCCCATCTCTACCAAAAAAAAAAATACAAAAAGTAGTCAGGTGCTGTAGCAGGTGCCTATAGTCTCAGCTACTGGGTGGCTAAGGCAGAGGATTGTTTGAGTGCAGGAGTTTGAGGCTGCAGTGAGCTCTGAAGACACCCCTGTGCTCCAGGCTAGGCAAGAGAGTGAGATCCTATCTCCACCACCACCGCCCTTAAAACAAACAAACAAACAAAAATATATGAATCATGAGTCCTATTCTTAATGATCGACAGAATCCCTAAGCAGCTGATGGATGACTCAGGAATAGGAAATGTCAACTTCCAAACAGTTTTCCTGTGGACCATTTAATGCCAGCTGCCCCCTTCTAGGTAGTTCAGTTGGGGTCCTGATTTGTTCATATAACTTTTGGATTAGCTTGTGCCTCTGCTCACAAACTCAGCATTGATAATTCTTATGATGGTTGAAAGTTGTATTAATGTTTAGTATTACCAAGACTTTGGCTTCAAATGCTATCTATCATGAAAACAATTCTGATATAAATCAAGAAGTATTAATTCTTCCCTTTCTGTCACCTCAGTCTTTGATGTTTTTGGTGTTCAGATACTTCTGTCAAATGCCAATATTAAGTATGATAGAATCATGATGAGTTTTAACTCCCTATGGCCAAAAACTGGAATTTCGCCCACTGGTGATTATTTCCTGAGAGTCACTAATTAAAACATGCGCAGTCATAGAAAATGTAAATGTCAGTGTTATGAGTCAGAGAATTAAAACAGTGATGATTTCCCTCTACTTGAGTTTTTTTGTAAAATTGTATTTCAGATTAGTATGAGCATACAAATCAATTTTTGAACAACGAATTAGAAGGATGGATTCCTCTGTATTGGTCATACTTGGTTGATTTTACCAGCCACGTCTCCTGCTACAGTCCAAAGGTGCTTCGCCAAGTTACTAGTAACTGGATGCTGGTCCAGGACGCAGAAATGCTGCCTCCCTGCTAGATTTCTGTTTTTAGTGTTTCTTCAGCTACTTACTCAGCCACCTTTTGTTCACCTTGCACCCTGTTTCCCACATACCATGTCCTGACAGCGTTGGGAAGTGTCTTCTCCTCCTCCGCAGCATATTTAATGGATACATCTGTGTTGAAAAAATTATTTCATACGTCCCAGTCCTAAACTTGATCATTTTATGTGGGACATTGTACGAGTCACTTTGTTCCTCCAGCTTATTTGTTGCTATCATTGAACTTTTGTTGAATTACAGTCTGAGCATCTGAAATCACAAAGGCTCCAATGAGTTTCCTTTGAGTATTGGGTCAGCACTCAAAAGGTTTCAGGTTTTTAAACATTTTAGATTTGAGGGGCTCAACCTACATAGCATAAATACAGAAAAGAGCCCCGATTATAAATGTATATCTTGATGAAATTTCAAAAAGTAAACTCGGACACAATAACTAAGAAAGTGACCTAAAGGCTATGTTAACCAGTTTGATGAAAATATTTCAAAATATTTCACGGTATCCCATGATTGCATTAATGTACACAGCTATCATTTAATTAAAAAAAAAAAAGTCAACTCGGGTAACCAGCACCCACATCAGAAAACTAACTGTTGTCACTCCTCCAGAAGCTGGGAGCTCCCACATGTTGCCTCCCAGTGAGTACCGCGACTCTTGGTCCCATCAAGGAAAACAACCACCTTGACTCAAACACTGTAGATTTGTTTTCTTATTTTTGACCTTTATATAAGTGTAATCTTACGTACGTATTTCTGTGAGTCTGGCATCTTTTTCCTGGCTTTGTCACTTTGAGGTTAATCTGTGTATAGCTGTGGTTCAGGCACTCTCTTTACTATGTAGCATTCCATTTGGGGAACCTACCTTATCTTTTCTATTGTTGATGGGCATATGGGTGGTTTCCAGTTTGGCGCTATTATAAGAACGCTCATAGTCGCATTTCTTATAATGAATGAAGATTCTTATATGTGTTTTTTGGTGAACTTAGGTCACATTTGTTGATATATATGTACGAGTGGGAATGATGAATCCTAAGTTCAGCTTTAGTAGATACTACCAAACAGTTTTCCAGAATGTTCCACCCTTAGCAGCGGTAAGGGTTCCAGTTCCACCTTCTTGCAGACAGTAGGCGTTGTCTTCCCATTTGAGCCAGGGTAGTAGGTATATAACAGCCTGTGGTTGGAGCCTCATTTGTCTTCATATAACATAATTTGAGTTCCCTTCCAGTTTGGACAGTTATTTTTAATGAAATACCAACTTGACAACTCCTTGTAGTGTGGTAGGTGGTAGAAGCAGGAAAATGCCAATTGCCCTTTAATATTGTGATAACAGAAGAGAGAGATTAAAAGGTTATTATTTTTATTATTGGTAATAATAGAAAATAAGTTCACAGAATGTTCTGCATGATGGCAGTAACCCCCCCGACTTGTGAAGTTTGTCTGAAGTGTCCCCATGGTTGATCACTTACAACAGGCAAATAGGAAAAGCAAGAAAATCTAATGCACTTCTGCATTGAAGGCACAAAGTACCCACCGGAGAAATGGGCAAAGCTGAAACCACTTGCCCTTCCTTCCTTCTAAAATACCCTTGCTTTATTATGTGTGGAGAGGGACGCAGAGGACAAACAGCTGACTTGAAACAAAGAAGCTCATGTCAGTCCCCATTTGAGGAACCAAAGGAAATGTTTGCGTACCTGGGAATTGGGCAAACCTGTTTATGTTTGAAATATCAGTCACTCATCTCACAAACGTTTATGGCTATTTCCATTATGTCAGGCACTGAAATAGTTACTAGGGATACAGAAACATAAACTCCTTCTCCCCAGGGACTACCATCTAAAGGAGGAGACACATGTGTCAACAAATAGTGCTGTGGAGGACAGAGGTGTTTGTGGAATTACAGGGTACACGCAGTGTGGTGACACAAAGGAGAAAATTATGGGGATCCCCCCAGCCCCAGAATGATGGGGGATGTTGGAAGGAAGCTGCACAGGGAGGTGGCTCCTGGTCTGGCATTTGCCAGACAAGAGCACAGAGGGAATTAGACGAGGCGGAATGAGGTGACCTAGTTTATTTCTGGAGCTTGAGGGATGATGGTGAGGAGAGAAAAGCAGCCAGTAGATGACAAGGGGCTTGTATGTCTACACCAGGGAGTTGGGCTTGATTTCTCCCCACTGCCTGGAGAATCACTCCTCTAAATGCTTTGGAGCCCCCTGCCAGGTTTAGGGAGACACAGA